CAGTGAGGAGAGCTCTTAGAGCTGATTGGAGGGAAGAGACCCCCCCCCCCCCCCACACACTTACACACAGTTTACAGGAACATTGCTGAGACTGTCAATCTGCTGGAGCTCCCTCCCCTGTCACCATGTTTTTCTTGATGTCAGGAAAACTTGTCAGAAGTGATTCATGCTGATAGCAGAGGAACCAGGCAGCAGACAGGAATTACACTTAGTGCTCTGGATTGAGACACTATACACACTATAGAGGGATATGCTTTGTTCATAATTCATGTCTGATATTTACAACCACTTTAAAGAATAGCTAAAGTCAAAACCTTTTCTTTTAGTTTTGAATCATATTGGAAAGGGATGAAACAAGTTACAATATGAGTATAAAATTTCCTTTAGTTCTACCAACAGCTACAGTATGTAGTGCAAGAGCCTGATTTGATAAAAATTGAATAGACTGCAGTAGGTAGGTCCTCTTATTGCATACTTTTGGTAAATCCAAATTTCACTGACCGTACTAAGACTGTAAGGTCAGATTGTAGCCTTTCCCTAAGATGGTTGTCACTGGAGTAGGTGTTCTCTTTGGAAAATGTATCCTAACCTCCTATTGACCACGTCAAAGTAAGCCCTCATTTTAAAATTCCCACCCTTTCTTTTTTCTCAAAATTAAGAATGTGAAGGCGAATTTAAGCAAACACATAGGTTGCACCACTTGCATTAGGCGTAGTCAATTTTTAATATTTAAAGTTTTACTAAACCCCGAACCCTGCATTCACTATATCTGGTCTCCCCGGACCCTGCATTCACTATATCCGGTCTCCCCGGACTCTGCATTCACTATATCCGGTCTCCCCCCCGGACCCTGCATTCACTATATCCGGTCTCCCCGGACCCCGCATTCACTATATCTGCTCTCCCCGGGACCCTGCATTCACTATATCTGGTCTCCCCGGACCCTGCATTCACTATATCCGGTCTCCCCGGACCCTGCATTCACTATATCTGGTCTCCCCGGACCCTGCACTCACTCTATCTGGTCTCCCCGGACCCTGCATTCACTATATCTGGTCTCCCCGGACCCTGCATTCACTATATCTGGTCTCCCACACCCTGCATTCATTATATCTGGTCTCCCCAGACCCTGCATTCAGTATATCTGGTCCCCCCCAGACCCTGCATTCACTATATCTGGTCTCCCTGGACCCTGCATTCACTATATCTGGTCCCCCCGGACCCTGCATTCACTATATCTGGTCCCCCCGGACCCTGCATTCACTATATCTGGTCTCCCCGGACCCTGCATTCACTATATCTGGTCTCCCCAGGCCCTGCATTCACTACATCTGGTCTCCAGAACCCTGCATTCACTATATCTGGTCTCCCCGGACCCTGCATTCACTATATCTGGTCTCCCACAGTTCACAGAACATGGAAATACAATTATTTTTGGAAATATAAACTGCTAAATACCTTTTCTCATCAGCAGTATATAGCAGTCTTGTGACTTCTATCAGTGTCCAGCTGAGCACTGGTATAAGCTTGTAGGAAGAGTTTTCTTTCTGCTTTGACTGTCCTATGAGACTACATAACCCATCACCCTCTGTCTGGACAGTGCTGATTGGCCTTGGGCTGATCACATGCACCCTTCCAAAGGAAAAAAAAACTCTCTAGCAATATACACAAAACTGAGCATGTGCAGAGTGCCTCCTAGAGCTCTGTAATATCAACAGATGGATTGGGGACAGTAGAAGAAGGGGAGGATCAGAGAAGACAGAATCAAACAGCCTTTTTGCACAATGCGGAGGATTAACCCCTTAGGTTCCACAGTGAGTATAACAAGCATGCATTACTGCATTTACAGACTGAGTTTACTGCTGTGGGTTTAGTAACACTTTAAAACAAAGATATTGTGCTTACAAAAGTCCTTTTACATAAGGGCTTGTCACAGCTACATAGAGAAGATGTTGATCTGAGCTTGCCGTGGTCAGCGATCAGGCTGATTGAAAAAGCTGTCTCTGATACACGTCTCCAAGGAAAGAGAACCTGTCTGCGGTGTAGAAAGCAGTGATATCCTTGCGGCTGCTCAGCAAGATTTGGCATATACTATTTGGTGCGAGGGTTCCAGGAAACACGTTTTGGGTTCTACCATTTTATCAAGCCTATTGGTTGGTCAGGGCTGCCTGGACCAGGAAGAGGCACCCATCAACCGATGATGTCAAGAAGAAAGATGGAAGTGATAAGGGACAAGGTATATGGCAGCAGTATGTCAGATCACAGCAGGACAATGCTGGGTCCACTGGGCAGGTGAGTATGTGAATTATGGACAACCCTGAATTGCAGGTAAGGGGAAGTGAAGTTCTTCTTTAAGGAACGGAGGTGCATTGAGAATTATTTTGTTTTGAGGCAAAATTAGACCAGATGGAAGTGTGACGTATCTGTGCAATGTTTTATGTCTTAAAAGCAGATTGTGTCCCGGCCAGACAGAAAAAATCAAGGAAGACTGAAAAGTCAAGATATGTTTCAGCAACCAGAAGGAGGAATTGGCAGAGTGAGGTGAGGTTGAGCAACGTCCTATCCTTCTATCACGTCCAGAGAAAATCTATTTGGAACAATAAACCATCTCTTATATAATGTGAAAACTCTCTCTAATGATGTTTGAGAATTTGGCAACTAAAATGAGTCTTTGGCCCAGCCTACCCGCTAAAAGGCAGCTGGCTCCCCTGAAAACAAACATTTCTGTAGTTGCATCATACATACTAGGGGGGGGTACAATTGGGGGAATCAATGATGGAGAAGGATCTCGGGGATTCAGTGGTGGAGAAAGATCTGGGGTGGTCAATGGTGGAGAAGGATCTGGGGGAATCAGTGGTGGAGAAGGATCTGGGGGAATCAGTGGTGGAGAAGGATCTGGGGGAATCAATGGTGGAGAAGGATCTGGGGAGGTCAATGGTGAAGAAGGATCTGGGGGGAGGTCAATGGTAGAGAAGGATCTGGGAGTTCTGGTAGATCACAAGTTTAATAATGGCATGCAATGCCAAGCTGCGGGTTCTAAAACGAGCACAATCCTCTCTTGTATTAAAAGAGGTATAGACTCCAGAGAGAGAGATATCATTTCCCCCGGTACAAATCATTAGTAACACCTCATCTAGAATATGCAGTTCAGTTTTGGGCACCAATTCACAAAAAGCACATTGGGGAACTGGAGAAAGTACAGAGAAGGGCAACCAAACTGATAAGAGGCATGGAGGAGATCAGCTATCAGGAAAGATTAGAGGAACTGAATGTATTCTCTCTTGAGAAGAGGAGATTAAGAGGGATATGATCTCCATGTATAATACATAAGGGGGGATATGATCTCCATGTATAATACATAAGGGGGGATATGATCTCCATGTATAATACATAAGGGGGGATATGATCTCCATGTATAATACATAAGGGGGGGATATGATCACCATGTATAATACATAAGGGGGGGGGATATGATCTCCATGTATAATACATAAGGGGGGATATAATCTCCATGTATAATACATAAGGGGGGATATGATCTCCATGTATAATACATAAGGGGGGATATAATCTCCATGTATAATACATAAGGGGGGATATGATCTCCATGTATAATACATAAGGGGGGATATGAATCTCCATGTATAATACATAAGGGGGGATATGATCTCCATGTATAATACATAAGGGGGGATATGATCTCCATGTTATAATACATAAAGGGGGGATATGATCACCATGTATAATACATAAGGGGGGGATATGATCACCATGTATAATACATAAGGAGGGATATGATCTCCATGTATAATACATAAGGGGGATATGATCTCCATGTATAATACATAAGGGGGGATATGATCTCCATGTATAATACATAAGGGGGGATATGATCTCCATGTATAATACATAAGGGGGATATGATCACCATGTATAATACATAAGGGGGGATATGATCTCCATGTATAATACATAAGGGGGGGATATGATCACCATGTATAATACATAAGGGGGGATATGATCACCATGTATAATACATAAGGGGGGATATGATCTCCATGTATAATACATAAGGGGGATATGATCTCCATGTATAATACATAAGGGGGGATATGATCTCCATGTATAATACATAAGGGGGGATATGATCTCCATGTATAATACATAAGGGGGGATATGATCTCCATGTATAATACATAAGGGGGGATATGATCTCCATGTATAATACATAAGGGGGATATGATCTCCATGTATAATACATAAGGGGGGATATGATCTCCATGTATAATACATAAGGGGGGATATGATCTCCATGTATAATACATAAGGGGGATATGATCTCTATGTATAATACATAAGGGGGGATATGATCTCCATGTATAATACATAAGGGGGATATGACAACATGTATAATACATAAAGGGGGATATGACAAAATGTATAATACATAAGGGGGGATATGCAAAATATTCTGTGGTTGGATGAGGTGGGGAGATGGGGTAGTAGTGTTGTGCTCCCATCATATGCAATCAGAGAATGCCTTGCATTTATTGAGAAAATGCAAAGCATTCGCTCAACGGCGCACGTGCCAAATGGCCAACCTCACAATGCAGCAAAGCAGCCGCTCAGAAGCTAGTGGGGATCACTGGAGTAGCGTTGCCTACTACAGTTATTTTCAGCCTGCAGGGGGATCAGCTAGGTATGGTATATGAATAGTTACATTGGTCAAAGCTTGACCAATGGAATTACATAAAAAAATACCATACCTGGAATTCAACTTTAAACAATTTTTTTATTATTATTCAGGATTTATACAGCACAAACCGTTTGCTCGGTGATATACAACACGTGGGCAGACAGTACAATTACAATACAATTTAATACAGTAGGAATCAGAGGGCCCTGTCCACTAGAGCCTACAATCTAAGGGGGGGGGGGTCAAGTGATACAAAAGGTAATAACTGTGGGGGGTGAGCTGATGGAGAAAATAAATAAAGGTACAGTTGTTAGGTGGGGGCAGGATAGGCTTTTCTGAAGAAAAGGGTTTTCAGGGAGCATCTACAAAAGCAAACAGAGACGGAGATAGTCAGACAGATTAGGGTACAGAGTTCCATAGAATGGGAGGAGCTCCAGAAGAGTCCTGGAGCTGAGCATGGGAGGACATGACAAGGGGGCTAGAGAGCAGGAGGTCTTGGGAGGAACGAAAAGAACAAACAGGCTGGTAATTTGAGACTAGGGTAGTGATGTAGCTGGGGGCTGAGTTGTGGATGGCTTTGTGTGTTGTTAGTATTTTGAATTTAATTTGCTGGCTGAGAAGAAACCAGTGGAGAGATTGGCAGAAAGGGGTGGAGGCCAGTGGAGGGATTGGCAGAGAGGGGTGGAGGACACTGAATGTAGGTCAGTGGAGGGATTGGCAGAGAGGGGTGGAGGACACTGAGTGGAGGCCAGTGGAGGGATTGGCAGAGAGGGGTGGAGGGGCACTGAGTGGAGGCCAGTGAAGGGATTGGCAGAGAGGGGTGGAGGGCACCGAGTGGAGGCCAGTGAAGGGATTGGCAGAGAGGGGTGGAGGGCACTGAGTGGAGGCCAGTGGAGGGATTGGCAGAGAGGGGTGGAGGACACTGAATGTAGGTCAGTGGAGGGATTGGCAGAGAGGGGTGGAGGACACTGAGTGGAGGCCAGTGGAGGGATTGGCAGAGAGGGGTGGGGGGCACTGAGTGGAGGCCAGTGGAGGGATTGGCAGAGAGGGGTGGAGGGCACTGAGTGGAGGCCAGTGATTGGCAGAGAGGGGTGGAGGCCAGTGGAGGGATTGGCAGAGAGGGGTGGAGGCCAGTGGAGGGATTGGCAGAGAGGGGTGGAGGGCACTGAGTGGAGGCCAGTGGAGGGATTGGCAGAGAGGGGTGGAGGACACTGAGTGGAGGCCAGTGGAGGGATTGGCAGAGAGGGGGTGGAGGGCACTGAGTGGAGGCCAGTGGAGGGATTGGCAGAGAGGGATGGAGGATTTAATTCTCCCACTGACACCAATGATGGGGCACTATTACTCCCAATGACCACCAAGCTTGTGCCAATGTTTACTTCCACCAATGCCAGGGCATTTTTTACTCCCATTGGCCAAAGTCTGGACCGGACTGTGGATGGACCCTCTAAAGTTTGAAGGGCAGTAAACTGACCCTTTGTTTCCAAGGTTTGGAGACCCCTGCCTTAGTCCCTTCTCACCATGACCTGTATGGTTGTCCTGTCTTGTTGAGTTCCAAGCTGTACTGCAGATGGTTTCCATACACTGCACTGAGGGTGGCCCAAAAGCCTGAAACAGCCGTATGAAGTTTGGAATAATTGGCTCTATAATATTAGGTTATATTTGCATTGTACACCAGAGATTCTGGATTTCCATTTGTTTGTTTTGGGCGTAAAGGAACAATTTGCATGACTCCACACACACTCCTGAAATGAGGTGTAATCCTCCGATTTTTGGATATGTGATGGAATGGGTCATGTAGTTCTGTTCTAGTAAGGCTTTACTGTGCTTCTCATTGTGTGCCGCCTACAGGACTGATGATCTTTCCCAGATCTGTAGTAAATCACCTGGCAGTGAACATTATCGCTTTTAATTTCTGCTGCAAGCAGTGTCAGGACAAGGCCATCTAGCGCCAAGGGCAAAGATGCCAAACTGCATCCCCAAGTTGTTTGAGGCATTATGTGTCAGCAAAATCCCCTCCCTTTGATCCCCCAAAAAACTCAAGTACTAATCTGCACACTTACCCCCTAAGCATAAATTCTCTTTGCAAACCACAGTTCTCCCCAAACAAAAAATTCCACCTCCTCCAAGGATTAAAAATCCACCCCCTGATTAAATCCCCCCCTTCCAGCACAAATCTTTGCCCGTTCATCCCCTCTCCCAGCTCAAATCCTCCCCCGAAATCCCCCTTCCTAACACCATTCCCCCCCAATTTCCCCTCCAAGCACAAGTCCCCCTTTTCAGATTTTCAGATCACCCCTTCTAGCACTCCCCCCCATAGCACAAATCCTCTTCCCTCCCCATTCCTCCCAGCATAAGTCACTCCTTTTAGCACATCCTCCCAAATTTCCCCTCCTAGAAAAAATAGTATCCACTGCTGACCCCACATTCTCCCTCCCAGCACAAATCCCCTCCCCGCACAAATGCTTTTCCCCCATCATACCCCAGCCAACTCCAATCTTCCCCAAATCATCCCTCCTAGCCACAAATGTTACCCTTGTACCCCAAATTGCTCCTGACAGTACAAATCCCCCCACCTAGCACTAATCCTCTTCCCTTCCCATTCCTCCCAGCATAACTCACCCCTTTTAGCACATCCCCCCAAATTTCCCCTCCTAGAACAAATAGTATCCCCTGCCAAACCCACATTCCCCCTCCCAGCACAAATCCCCTCCCTGCACAAATACTTTTCCCCCACCATACCCCCACCCAACACCAATCTTCCCCAAATCATCCCTCCTAGCCACAAATGTTACCCCTGTGCCCCCCCAAATTCATCCTTCCAGTACAATCCCCCCTAATCCCCCCACCTAGCACTAATCCTCTTCTCTCTCCCCCTCCTTGCACAAATACTTTCATTCCCACTGCAAATGTTTGTTACTCTCCTTCCAGTGGCAGGAACCTCTCTCAAGATGCCTCCCACCCCACCCACAATCGACCTCACATGATACCAGCGTCCCGGACAGCCACCCCTTCTGCCCACCCTTTGTCCTGTCCCTGACTGCAAGGGAAAAGGTTGGGTCAGCTGGTAAAGTTCAATATCAAAAGAGACTCTGATTCATTTTATACAGATAACTTGTTACATTTATGTCATTCCTTTTGCATTACAAGGTGGTATGGTATATTAGTACTGTTAGAAATCAAAAAGCCCAAATTCCCCATAAATGAGACTCTCCTTGTCTCCCTTTGGAACTGTAGCCATTGAAGGGAATTGATCGGTAGCTTTATTGGAATTCTTGACCAATATTGCCTTTGTTTTTGTAGGTGGACTCTGTCCCGAAGCTGGGCACTCTGTGTCTGGAGGATAACTTGCCAATACTGGCACTTCAGGATGTTTCTTTTGTGTCTCCCAGATCTCCGCCGCCATTGGGTTAGTTCATCAATGCTTAACCGCCTTGTGACTGCAATAGATCTTTTCTAATTCCACATGCACAGTGCCCCAAGTGGTGAGAATGTGTATAAATGTCCTAGGAGAGAACTAGGAATGTGCATCTGTGCGCATCCCTGGTCCTCAGAACCTGCTGGCAAATTGACAGATTATCTATACAGTATTGGTCAGGTTAACTGGTGATTAATTCCTAATGCACACGGGGCGTTTTGATAACACTGGTAACATTAGCTGTGTAAAGCCATGTTAAAAAGTTTTTCACCTTTCTTTTAGCGGTTTTGCATTAGCGTTCAGCAGCATTTAGCCTTGTTTAGAGGCGTTTTCCCGCGTTTGCGTTTTTTAACAAGAACACATTTTTTGGGGGTCAAAAAAAGTCCAAAAACACCGGGTTTTCTGCATTTTACTGCATTTTCCCACGTTTTTCAGCGTTTTTTGCATTAGCGTTTAAGTGTATTTTCCCACATTCTTCCGCGTTTGCGTTTTTTTTTTAGCGTATTTTACAAGAAAAAAAAATATTTTGGGGGGGCAAAAAACGTCCAAAAATGCCGGTTTTTCTGCATTTTACTACATTGTCCCGTGTTTTTAAGCGTTTTTGCATTAGTGTTTAGCCGCATTTTCCTTTTTAGCATTTTCTTACCCCCCCAAAATTTTTTTGGGGGTCAAAAAAAGTCCACAAATGCTGATTTGCTGCGTTTTTACCCGCCTTTTTCAGCGTTAGAGAGCTTATTCAGCTAAAAAAACTCCTCTAGAAACCCACTAGTCCTGGGGGGTTTTTCTAGCCAAACAACGTTCTAGCCAAAAAACGTTGATTCCAGTCTACGTGTGCATGGACACATGGGATAACATGCTGGGGGTTTACTGGCTGTAGAAAAAAATGTCAAAAGCCAAAAACAGCCGCTGTAAAAATGTCCCGTGTGCATGAGGACTAATGGTGCTGCCAAATTTGGTCTGAGGTTTGAACTTTAATGGCCAACTGGACCACTATGCCATCATCTTTTCATGAACTCCAAGCACCAGGAGAACACTTTTCCCTCGGTTCAGGTGATTAGGAAGGGAGAAGGAGATTTTCACCAATGGGAGATAATATGGGAGTAAAATATGATAGAGGTTCTAACTCTTACCCATTCCAAGAGGTTGGAGTACCAGTTTAAAAAAAAAAGAAAAAATTTTAAATGTGAAGTGTATGTGTACTGTATATAAAACTAACTTTAAAGTTCACTAAATTTAAACAGATCCTGATGCCAGACCATTCAATTCACTAAACATGATGAACTTCTCTTCTTCACTCAGCAATCTGGAGGTATTCCTGAACAGGGGATCTGGTGCCTGGTACTTTAAAAGTGGACCGTCCCAAATAGGCATTGAATCTGGTTTCCTACTAGAGTGCTCCTTCCCCTATCTGCCCAGGGGGTGCAGGAGTGCTCACTCAGATCCTCTTCTGTACCGCTGGTGGATAGTGGCTACTACCAGGCCTGTCAGCTGGGCCACTCCTTCCCAGCCATACAGGTGGTCCTCGCTCTGGGGGCCAGTGGGACTCCTAGCTTTCCTCCTCTCCAGGTCTGCAGGTAGGACCCATCCCACTGGGCCTCCTCGCAGCCTCCTTCTTTCAGCCTCACAGCTTCCTCACTATCTTCCACCCGAACTCTCCTGCCACTGAGCAGGCTTCAACACCTTTAATGGTATCCCAGCCCCTTGCCAAGCCTTCTGTTGGGGATTGGCTAGGATCCCTCAAGAGTGCAAGCCAGCCACTCCTCAGATCCACCCACTGCCTCTAGGTCTTCCTCCAAAAGCCCTAGAGCAGGGGGAAATTCCAGAGGGGCTGGTCTGCAGAGCCTTTCAGCTCCTGACCACAATTTGACCTTCTGGCTATTACACCCAGGCCGTTACTCATCCCTCCTCTCTATCAAACAGGACTCTAGCTCCCCCTAGCTAACTAGGAGGGCACTGCACTTGAGTAATGAGCAATTTCTGACACTCAGATAAGTAACCACTAAAGCCAATTAATATTTTAGCTATCTGTAAGGTGGGATTCCTTCTGCTGACCACAAATGTAAAGAACATTTTTTCCACTGACCATCACGCTAATGTACCATGAGCTGTAGATATGGTAGTCATTGGCAGGGGTTCCATGACAGCCTAAAATGATTTCAACGGTTCTTCCGTGTTATGAGGGTTGAGAAAGTCTGCTCTATAGTATCCCCCTTCATTCCTAACCTGACAACTACATAGAGGAGAAGGCTATGACGTCCAAGGAGGGAGGGGGCTGTGCTAGAGAACTGACTAGTCAAATTTGCTAGCAAGCTCAAATGTATGTTGCAAATTAATGAAAAAAATAGTTTAACAAAAAAACAAAAATGTGCTGCGAGTATTTAACCCCTCGCCCTCCGGAGGATTTACTCCTTCCTGACCAGGCCATTTTTTTGCGATACAGCTCTGCGTTACTTTGACGGACAATTGCGCAATCATGCAACGCTGCACCCAAATGAAATGTATGTGCATTTTTCCCTTCAAATAGAGCTTTTTGGTGGTATTTGATCGCTTGTGCGTTTTTTATGTAACAAACAAAAAAAGACCAACAATTATGAAAAAAAAACCCAGTATTTTTGACTTTTTGCTATTAAACATGTCCAGTAAAAAAAAAAATGTAAAAAAATCCAATTTCAAATAAATGTAGGCCAAAATGTATTCTGCTCTGTGGCTTTGCTAAAAAAAAATCCCAATACGTGTAAATTAATTGGTTTAAGTGAAAGTTATAGCGTTTACAAATGGCGGTATAGATACTGGATTTTTAAAAAATTATTTATGTTAGTAATGGTGGCGATCAGCGACTTATAGTGGGACTGCGGCGGGCATTCTGACACTGGGGGGGAACTGAGTTGGTGTCACTGACCCAATGACAACAATACAGTGATCAGTGCTAATGAAAAGTACTGACACTGTACTAATGGCACTGGGCAGGAAGGGGTTAACATCTGGGGACATCAAAGGGTTAACTGTGTGCTGCGTGCTTTACTATGTGTGCTGTGTGTGTGCTTTACTGTGTAAGCACACTGCTTTGTATGGCTCTGCTTTGCAGACTGACTAGGCTTTGCAGAGCCATACAAAGGAGCTGACGGGAGAGATCTGTACTGTTTACATACAGACCTCTCCCCCATCTGTGATACTTGGCGATCTCCGGGCTCCGGCAGGGAATCACCAGCCGTGACCCAGTGATCGACAGCTGAAGCTGCCAATGGTGGCACGGGTAGGGGGCAAGTACGCCCCCTACCCGGAAATACAAAATCATGTATATATACAGTGAAGGAAATGCATATTTGATCCCCTGCTGATTTTGAATGTTTGCCCACTCACAAAGAAATGATCAGTTTGGTAGCCCAGTCCAGCCTTGTGTAGGTCTACAATCTTGTCCCTGACATCCTTGGACAGCTCTTTGGTCTTTGCCATGGTGGAGAGTTTGGAATCTGATTGTTTGATTGCTCCTGTGGACAGGTGTCTTCTATACAGGTAACACAATGAGATTAGCAGCACTCCCTTTAAGAGACTGCTTCTAATCTCAGCTTGTTACCTGTATGAAAGACACCTGGTAGCCAGAAATCCTGCTGAATGATAGGGGATCAAATACTTATTTCCCTCATGAACATGCAAATCAGTGCATAATTTGTTAGACATGCATTTCTTTTGAATTTTTTGTTGCTATTCTGTCTCTCAATGTTAGAATACACCGAACATTCAATTTTTAGACCGATCATTTCTTTGTGAGTGGGCAAACATTCAAAATGAGCAGGGGATCAAATACTTATTTCCTTCACTATACGTGATTTTGCGCAGCCCTACCACCTTGTAGCAGTAGTTCTGCTATAGAGCGGTTGGGATGCGGTTAAGCAGGCGATCCCCCAGCAGATATAAAGAAGGTTTAATGTCACCTCTGCAGCATGAACTTAAAGTGTATGTCCGGGCATTACCCAAAGAAACCCCCAAGCCTCCCTCCCCCCCCCCTTTGTCCCCATATACATTTTCCTTTTACCTTCTTCTTGTAGTGAGAAACCACTTTTATTGCTTTCAAAACCTTTATTTCACGCTTGTAAATTTCTTGCAGGGGGAGCTGCTGGGGGCCCGATTCCTGGTGACAAAGGCAAGTCTCCTAGATCTCCCAAGTGCTCTTTTCTCACACATAGGGTTTGGATAGGGAGTCAAGGCAGCTGCATGTTTTTCCTGGGAAAGAAGTCAATGCCTGCCCTTAGATATATACAGGGAGGGGTGGGGGATGGGCAGAGTTCTGTAGTCCAGCAGGCAGGGCTGACAACATTACTTGGAATTTCAGTCCAGCAAAGGCACCGTGTTGTCAGTCCTAACCAGAGGCGGACTGACAACTCATGGGGCCCCCGGGCAATAGGGGATCATGGGGCCCCTGTGTCCTTGCCCAAACTCAAAAAAGCCTATGAAAAAGGTACCAGGGGTATCTCATGGGGCCCCATTACTGACCCCGGGCCCTCGGGCAGTGCCTGATTTTCCAAATGGTCAGTCCGCCCCTGGTCCTAACAGGATGTCAGGAGCACACTGGATATCTCACAGATCAACAGGTATATTTTTGTACTTGCAGCATTTAAAAAAAAAAAAATGCTTAAAAAGGAGAAAATGTTCTTCCAGAGATATCTTAATATGCTTTTTTTTTTCTTTTAGTTTGCCCTGACATGCGCTCTAAAGATGGCGGCATCAGCAACACCATGGAGCCTAAACGTGACTCCAGGTAATATATCTCTACCTTACAATAAAGTCCAAGATCATTTTACATCTCTAAATTAGTTTTACCCCCCCCCCCCCCCCCCCCGGTCACATCAAAGTCGATTCAGAAATAGTGCGACTTACAGTGAAGTCGCACAATTTCAAAATCGGGTGACCTGCCAATTTCATTGCGATTTGCAAGACATCTGACACAGATGTCTATACAAATCGCAACAAAAGTAGTGCAGGTACTACTTTAGAAATCGGTGCGGCTCCAACCAAGTCAGAACCAAACTGATATGACTGCTCTGATAGCGGACAATAGGGTGCGACGATCTGCAAGTCGCAAGGCATGCAAATCGTATGCCAAATCGCACCCAATGTGACCGGGGGCTTACTCTGTAAGTCTAGGTTTACACCTATGCGGGTTGCATTTGAGCCATTTCTCCATTGCATTTTTCATTTATGCACTTGCGTTTTTGGTGAGTTTTGTTTTTTTTTATATTTTTCTTGTTGCTAGGCAGATTTAAAACACAAAACGCATCAAAAATGCATTAAAAAATAAAAAAAATGCAGCAAAAACGCAATACATGCTTTTCTACATCGTGTTTTGCATTGCATTTTGTGTTTTTTGCCGCATTTTATGTGTTTTGCGGGGGGGTTTTTTTTCATTTTTTTATTCTTCTTGTTGCTAGGCAGATTTAAAACACAAAACACATAAAAATACATCAACAACGCGGCAAACACGCAGCAAAAACGCAATACATGCTTTTCCATTGAAGTCTAAAGAAACAAAAACGCAACTTTTTGTGTTCAAAAAAGTCCCTGGCCCTTTCCAAAAAATGCACCGGGAGAAAATGCAAAAGTGTGAACCTGTCCCATAGCAAATCATGTTAAATGGACTGTAGTGCGTTTCTGCAAAACGCTGCAGAAAACGCTTAGGTGTGAACCTGGGGTAAAGTCTTGACTTTCATGACAAATGCAGACCATAGACGGGTCGTTCATCCGCACGAAAAATTGGCCGATATTCACGCCGTTAGTGGTGCCCACCCATCGGTCGTTTTTCATGGATTGTCTAGTTTACTTTTATCGGTCATGCTGGAAAATCCACGAAAAACTGATGTTTTTTTGTAGACGATGGTGGCAGCATTGGCAACGGCGCCGACTGATTTTTTTTGTTTATCGGCCGACAATTTGTCTGATAAACGGCCCATCTATGTCCGGCATAAGGCTGACCATAGATGGATCGCTTTTTTCTTTTTTTTTTTTTTTTTTTATTTCAGTCGCAAGCTGATTAAAAAAAAAAAAAGTTAACGGATCCCCCCCATACACAAAAGCAAGGTGGATGGATCTTCCCCACTGGGTTATTGGATTCCGATAGCAGGGGCTCCTCCGCTGTCAGAATACAGTGCAGCAGCCGACTGGTTGCAGCCGCCGATCAAATGAAAAATTTCCAGCGTCCAGTTCAACAAAAGTCTGTTAATCAGGAACGGCCAGAGGGGAGTTGGAATCTCAATCTATCTATGGCCAGCTTGTAGTAGTCGTAACCCTTCCTTCCTTTCCCCTTCCAGGGCTTTTTTCAGCGCCTCCAGCACTGAATGTATGTAATGGCAAGGAGTGCTGGGGTGTGCTGGAGGGTCTATTGATGCTGGAGGGGGTCTATTTTTTCATGGTGTTCCATTGCCGCTAGAGGGTGTTATGTTGCTGTGAGGTCAATTGTTGCTGAATGGGATCTACTGTTGAGAGAGGGATCCATTGTTGCTGGCTAGTGCATGGTAGTCTATTGTTGCTAGGGAGGTTTATTGTTGCTGTTGGGGATCTATTGTTGCTGCAGGGTTTATATTGTTGGGGGGAGTTGTTGCTGAAAGGGATCTACTGTTGAGGGGGGATTCCATTGTTGCTGTGTGAGATCTACCGTTGCATAGGGGGCATCAATTTTTGCATGGTAGTCTGTTGTTGCTAGGGAGGTTTATTGTTGCTGTTGGGGATCTATTGTTGCTGCAGGGTTTATATTGTTGGGGGCGTTGTTGCTGAAAGGGATCTACTGTTGAGAGAGGAGTCCATTGTTGCTGGTTGTTGTGAGATCTAGCGTTGCATAGGGGGCATAAATTTTTGCGTGGTAGTCTGTTGTTGCTAGGGAGGTTTATTGTTGCTCTTGGGGATCTGTTGTTTCTGCAGGGTTTATATTGTTGGGGGGGGGGTTTGTTGCTGAAAAGGATCTACTGTTGAGAGAGGGATCCATTGTTGCTGGCTGCTGTGAGATCTATTGTTGCTGGAGGGCATCAATTTTTGCGTGGCAGTCTATTGTTGCTGGGGAGGTTTATTGTTGCTGGCGGGGATCTATTGTTGCTGCAGGGTATATATTGTTGGGGGCAGTTGCTGAAAGGGATCTACTTTTGAGGGAGGGGTCTATTGTTGCTGGCTGCTGTGAGATGTATTGTTGCTGGAAGTAATCTATTTTTCCGTGGCAGTCTATTGTTGCTAGGGAGGTTTATTGGTGCTGTTGGGGATCTATTGTTGCTGCAGGGTTTATATTGTTGGGGGGAGGCAGTTGTTGCTGAAATGGATCTACTGTTGAGGGAGGGGTTCTTGTTGCTGGCTGCTAAAGATTCTTTGATGCTGGCTGCAGGGAAATCTGTTGTTTCTGCCAGGGGTCTGCTGTTGCTGGGGGGGTCTGCTGTTGCTGGGGGGGTCTGCTGTTGCTGGGGGGTCTATTGTTGCTGGGGGTCTATTGTTGCTGGGGAGGGCCTTTTGCTGCTGGCTGCGGTGAATCTCATTTACAGCTTTTCTTGTTGTTAACTAACAAATTCCATACAAATGACTTAGCACCACAAAATGATGCTTGGCTCTATATTCTTTAAAAGGGGTGGTACTTGGAGGTGGGTAGGGGGCGGAGACAAGAAGTGACTCAGAAGGGGGAGTTCCTGCACCTATTCTCTGAGTAAAAAAAAACCCTGCTTATACCCAACGAAGTGTCTGGCCTCAGGTGATACACAGAGATTAAACAAATCCTCCCACATAAGTTGTACCTATTTGTCTATAGCTGTCTATAACCTACAACCATTCAAAGTGCAGAATTAACACAGGATCTCTCAGCTCTGAAAAGCAGGGGGCAGGGAGCTGAATTTACATAATTGAGGAGAGCTCTGAGAGCTGATTGGAGGGAAGGGACACACCCCCCTTTACACAGCACACAGGAACAGAGCTGAGGCTGTCAATCACAGGCAGTGCCATCCCTGTCACCAGTTTTTTCTGGTGTCAGGAAAATTCATCAGAAGTGACTCATGCTTACAGCAGAGGAACAGGGCAGTGGACAGAAATGACACTTGGTACTCTGGATTGAGACAAGTACACACTATAGAGGGATATGCTTTGTTCATATTTAATTTTTGAGGTTTACA